GCCGATAGCAACCATTAGAGAAACTCCTTTGATTTATGAAAGCAGACTATGAGCTCTTGATGGTAGTGCTCCATAAAGATCTTTCCCAGGTCAGAAGTAGAAAAAGAGGCGAGGCCTTGTTCGCATGCCTTGGCCTCGCGTTCAGCCATAGAGGAGACAAGTTGGCTTAATTGAGCCCGCAGTCCCGATGCCATATCCACCTTAGCCTAGACGCCAACAAGCTCGTTTGAAGGGTGGACAACTCAGCCCTCATACCTTTGGCTTCCTCACCCACCTTAATAGCGGCGACCTTCAAGCCAGCCCACTCATAGTAGAATGACTTCTCGCGGGCAANAAACTCGGCTAGCCGGTCTAGGAGAGATCTAGTATATTAAGAAATAAGCAACCCAACCAAGGATCTCGTATTTGGGCCTATGGTGCTGGCCAACCTAAAGGAGGCGACTTGGAGGGTGTTGACCTCCAGGAGCTCGACAATAAAGTCGACCTCGAGATATCGAGGTCGTACAACCTGAGGTTAGGCTAAACCTCAAGATAGGGTCAAGTTCGACCTCAGGTAAGCCACAACAAGTATGTCAGGAGGACGAGGTTACGGCCTAGAGACCTAAGGGTTGTACAGTAAAGAGAAAATAATTTTAGTAAGAAGGAAAAAATCACTTGCTAAAGGACACTTGCCTATAAAGAGACCTGGTAAGTTAAGAAGTGTGATCTAGTTATATCTTTTTTCTAACAGTGACTCTCTTCGGCACCAAGACAGCTTCTCTATATAAGGGTGTCAGATTTTTCTTCATAACATATCACATTCTACGTCTTATTTTATATATTCTCCTATACTTTTATTGAGTAAGTTCTTAATTGAGCGTCAGAGGTTTTTCCTGTGGGACCCCCTCTCGACGTAATGTAGGTTACCGAAGCTCAAAGATGAAGGAAGTTCAAGACATAGGGGGATCAACCCGGTTCGTTACGAAAGTGTAATAAAATGTAGTTTGTTAAGATAGTTAAATCTATTACTATATGGTACGGTTAGGGAAAACTAAGTGGATAATTATGAAATAATTCAATAATAGAAAGCCATTTTCTCGCTTTTTTTTCGTTTTTTACCGTTTAAGGATTTATTTATTTTTTTTTTTGAAATATTGGGATTATCCCGCCCATGTTTTCAAATTTTTTTTTGGATGTATTTTGGTGCTCCGATTTAAAAGGGGCTGATTTTTAGCAAAAAGTTAAGATTAGTCAAATTTTTTTGTGGTTGGATTTTGCTGCTCCGATTTGTATGGGCCTGATTTTGTGCGGATGAATCCTTTTAAATATGATTCCAAACAAATCTTTAATATTCGCACATATTAATCGGCCAATTGTGTTTAATAATTTTATTAATCCATATCTTTTAATCGTTTATAACATGATCCTAATCGGCAAGTCAAATTAACAGTTGGAGAATAATAAAAATCACAATCATACAATTGATTAAGCTCAAACAGTAAAAAATATAATAAAACATTCCTCAAACAATAGGATTCTATATACGTTTAAGAATACAACATGATTCTATCTCTACAAGCATATTTTCTAATAAAATAAATCACATGATATTAGGAATTAAAACATAACTTAAAATAATTGGATTCATAAATAATTGAGAATAAAATAAAACAATTTCCTAATAATTACCTGCACAATACGTCCATAAAAAAAATTGGATTCATTAATAGACAATTGAAAAGAATCCTATATAACATGAATTCTTTATATGATTTGTTGTACAACCATATACATTCTCCTACCATTCAATCACGTCATATAATATATATAAACATTCCTACAATTAATTGATTCTATTTACTTTTAGGAATCAGTCTCTCGCACGCAAGTGTATGGAAATATAAACTTTAAATCTTAATATGCTTACACATCCCTATTTAATTTGGAGTCTTTGCCCTATACGGTTGGGATTCAGCCAATATCCATGATTTATGAAAATGTAATATTCTTTTTTCTTTAAACAGAAACAGACAATATTTAACTATATATATGTTTCCTCTAGGTTTATTTCGTTTGACTGCCACCCGATCGATTGTAGGTTTACTCATGTATATTTTATTCTTTTCTCTACATCATTATACTCATACTACTATTCAATTCTAATAATCCATGTACATTGCTTTGTTCAACACCAGCTAGAGATCAGAATTACATCAAGGCATGGATAAATCCTATGGTGCTAAAGGAAAGCAAGCAATTTCAGTGAAAGAAGTCAAACAGAGGATAACAAGCATTAATACAATTCAAAGTAATGTTCATGACAACTTATTTGATAATTCAAATTTTGTTTTTGCTGCTGTGATAGTAGTTTTTCTAAACTCATGAATCCTTATGAGATTTGTAATGGTTTTTAGTAAATTATATGCGCAGTAATTGGTTATGATCTTATTGTTCGAATCTAATATTTCATATATGTAATGTTGTGGTTTTACCTCTGGTTGTGTTGCCATGTAATGAACATTTATTTATTGCGCTCCAAAGTAGATCACAATGTACATGCATAAAAAACAAGTGAAAATGATTAGCATTCAAAAGAAAAAAAGGACTTGCAACAAATAGTGTTGTATGTGTGTTTTCTGTGACTGAAAAGCAATATACAACAAATAGCTATTAATACCTTTTTTTCCAAATGCACAGATTCTGATATACATGTCTTATACTCATTCTCGATTCCTCCATCTACATTACAACACGCAATTTTATATATAATATATATATAGGGTCACGTTCCGGTGAGAATGGTGCTCAGTGAAAGAAATAAGAATACATCGTATCCATTAGATCATATGATCCAACGGTAACAAAAATTCCAGCATTAATATACTCATTAAGGGTATTTTAGACATTTTTTTACTCATACCAATTACCCACTCATCCACACCCAATAATTAAATGACACATGCCACTTTACATCACAACATCACACGTCTCTCTCCCCTCCCCCCTCTCTCTCTCACACGCGCACATACACCCAACACGCACACACACCTCCACACACATTTACACGCGCAGACGTGTTTCATCCGCATCCCATTGCCGGTCCGGCCGCCCGCCACTGTCAGAATCGTCGCCGTCACTGTCGCCTTCCTCCGCTGCCGCCGAACTGTTTCTTCCTCGGCCACCATTGCGTTCCCTTCAGCCACGCCGGAGATTGACGCCGATGTACCACGGCTCAACTAGACAACGACTGTTGTTCATGAAATCAGACCCCGACGAATTCAGCAACGGAATAAATTGTTCGAGGCGAAATTAATTGGCCGCCGTGGTCGGTTCTTTTGTGCCTAATTCTTTCCACGTTCGGGCAGTTGAAGGCGAGATTGGAGCTCGACCGTCCCCAACAATTCCGTCCAAATACATCGACTGCCGACTAGACGGTGGCGGCCGGAGAGGATATGATAACGCAGAGATCGACAGTCGGTGAAGCTCCGGCACAGGACAACAACCGACGGGAAATTTAGGGGGCATGCTTGCGAAAATTGGATAATGTTTAAGGTCACAATTGCAAATTCAAAAAACTTAATTATATTACAATTTAACCCATGGGCTAAATATGCAATTTATAAAAAATTATAAAAAAAATATTTTTTTTATATTGTTTATAAAAAATATTATTTTTTATATACACCTTATATAATATATATATTTTCAACTAAAAATGACATAAATATTAAATACAAGTATTAAAATAATAAATATAATTTTATAATATAAATAATAATAATTATTTCAATTATTTAGTTAATTAAGTTAACTAATTGAATAAATTGATTATCTTCTTCGATTTTAGTTTGGATTTGCATATAAAAAAATACACGTAAAAAAACACCAGCAATACAGAATGCATAATAGTGATAAACAAGATGCATATTAGTCACTGTACCAATGCACAATAGTGATGGACCAAACACACATTAAATTTCACTACAATGAAAACTATGCTAGTGTGATTTTTCACATAATATTAAAATTTTGGTCCTTTTTTTTCAACAAAAAAAATTGGAATATAATAATTGATCGAACTGTATAAAAAATATAATTTTTATATTTTTAAATACATATATTATTTATTTTCGACATACGATTATATAAATTATTAAATAAAAATCAACATTAATAAAAATATTTTTACTATATAAACAATTTGATATTTGGAAAGATAATGTTAATTGAAAACACATTATTGACTTTCCTAAATTTGAAATGAACATAAAAACACTCCTGATCAATAGACTGCACAATAATGTTGCAGGAAATGCACATTAATATCTGCGAGGATGCACTTTATTTATTTCAAAATTTTATTATTATGTCGTTTCAACTAAAAATAATATATAAAAAATACTAAATATATTTTTTATATTATAGCAAAATCAATCACTTCTACTATTTATAGTATTTTGGTTATCCGATCCAATAAATCGATTATTTCAGTTCTTAATTAATTTGGAGTGGGAAAAACTATTAAAAAATATATTTTATTGTGAGTGCACAATAGTGTAAGACTAATTGAATATTAATAACTATAAGATTGCACGATAGCGACCGAAGCCAAACGAACTAAAATTTTCAATTGAACTTTTATATATTCGAAATCGATTATTTGTTTTTACTTTTAAAACGTCGTTACTTTGGTTTGATATCGGCTT